GATGCATTTAGGAAATAATAAGCTTTTAGACATACAAATGTAAAAAATAATAAATAAAATGCCTCCATTGTACAAACATTCTAAATAAAAAAAGTTTTGATTTTAAAATGTGCTTCAAAAATTGATAAAATGTCGTAAAATATTCGTCTGAATTTCTTTCTTTGTTGATTTTTTTTTAATTGTTTTTTGTTAAACAGAAATTAAACATAAATAAGTAAACTTGCATAAAAGGAACGAGGGAATGTATATTTAACATATAAATATTCTAAATGACGATACAACTACACAGTTTTACCTGGGTACATTTTTTCCATTTACTCCAGATCTTTTCAAAGTTTGCGAGCTGCGTTCTACCTGAAAAAGTCTTTCTTTCCATCTTGTATAAACCTCACATAATCTGATGCCAGTCATCCAGGGATGGGACTTTTATATTAAACCACTTCTTTGTGATAGCCTTTCGGGCTGCTAAACTTAAAATTCCAAATAAACTTTTAGATTCTGAGTCCACCTCCCCTGAATGCAAAAATCCAAACAAAAACTCATCCCACTTAAAAGAAAGTCGCATGCCTAACATAACTTCCATCTCTATGTGAATGTTTGTCCAGAAATCACAAATCTGTGGACATGACCATAACAAATGAAAATGTTGTACTTCCTGGGCTCCACAGTTCCTCCACTGGAGGAACGTGAATAGTATTTACTTTGAGCAGGTGTTATGAAGTATCTAATTAGGGTTTCCAGCTAAAACATCTCCATATATTTGAACTAGTGATTTTCCACTGGATTGCACATTGTTGAAACCAAATGTCATTTGTGTCATTTACTTCTCCCTCCCATTTATGTTTAATGTAAGTTTTATTTAGTCTCTTTGATACCCTTATACAATCTTGAGATTAATTTACATCCCAAATCTGATTGGTATACCTTAATAAAAAATATTTAGCAATGGGATATCTAATATATCTTTGCTGTCAGAAATGAAATTTTGTAAGTGATGCCAGATTTGAAGATATCTATAAAAATCTGTATGTTTTAACTGATACTGACTTTTTATTGAGTTAAAATCTCTCAAAATATTTTTGTCAAAAAAAGTACAGTATGCAGTTAAACCATATTGTAAGTTTTATACGTCGTATCAGATTTATTTGGTTTAAAGTCAAGATCGTAAGTGCACCATCTCAAGATCCTAACCTTCTTATGCCAGCCATTCTTGTTAAGAAAACGTAACCAAAGTTTCAGTGGTAAAGTAATCAACTGATTACCCCATTCAAATTGTTTCTTAATATTTTTTTGTCCCCTAAACTAGCCTGAATGGGGCAGTCTCTTGAAGTAGTTATTTCTGTTTCTTTCCATCTTGCTTGATAATCTTTGTTACACCAGCAAACTAAAATCCTAAACTCACCAGCGATATAATAGTCTTTTATACATGGAAGAGCTAGCCCCCCTTTATCGTTTGTCATCTGCAGAGTTTGATACCTTAATCTTGGTCTTTTCCCCTGCCAAATAAATCTAGAAATGAGTTTGTCCCATTCTTCAAACTGTTTGTCCGTTTTTTCAATTGGAAGTGTTTGGAGCAAATAAAGCACCTTAGGCAAAATATTCATCTTGACCGTATCAATACGTGACTCGAAACTTGGAATTGGTATCAAACTCCATCTTTTAATGTCCTCGTTTATTTTATGGCACAGGGGCTTAAAATTTACAAACCGGATTCCAAAAAAGTTGGGACACTAAACAAGTTGTGAATAAAAACTGAATGCAATGATGTGGAGGTGCCAACATCTAATATTTTATTCAGAATAGAACACAAATCACAGATCAAAAGTTTAAACTGAGAGAATGTTTCATTTTAAGGGAAAAATCTGTTGTTTCCAAATTTCATGGCATCAACAAATCCCAAAAAAGTTGGGACAAGTCCATTTTTACCACTGTGTGGCATCCCCCCCCTTCTTCTTACAACACTCAACAGACGTCTGGGGACAGAGGAGACCAGTTTCTCAAGTTTAGAAATAGGAATGCTCTCCCATTCATGTCTAATACAGGCCTCTAACTGTTCAGTCGTCTTGGGCCTTCTTTGTCGCACCTTCCTCTTTATGATGCTCCAAATGTTCTCTATAGGTGAAAGATCTGGACTGCAGGCTGGCCATTTCAGTACCCGGATCCTTCTCCTACGTAGCCATGATGTTGTGATTGCTGCAGAATGTGGTCTGGCATTATCGTGTTGAAAAATGCAGGGTCTTCCCTGAAAGAGATGACGTCTAGATGGGAGCATATGTTGTTCTAGAACCTGAACATAGTTCTCTGCATTAATGGTGCCTTTCCAGACATGCAAGCTGCCCATGCCACAAGCGCTCATGCAACCCCATACCATCAGTGATGCAGGCTTCTGAACGGAGCGTTGATAACAACTTGGCCGAGTCTCCACTCTGTCAATTCATTCCTCTGCTTCATCCATCCTTTTGCCAATCCTGTTCAGTTCCCTTCTCAGTGCATTAAACTGTTCATTACTGTCTTTTCTGAAATCCCTTAATTCTTTCAAAATAATGTCCATGTTGGCCGGGCGGCCTTTTGTTATTAGCATCCACTTGTGGTTCATCCTCCATGTTGCTGCTGGCTTGCGACACAGTATCTTCCTCCACTTCACTACGTTCCACCGTCACGTTTCTTGAGTGTTTTGGTCATTTTTGTTTTAAATATATTACCCAACTATTTTAATCTATAAGTTTCAAGTTTGAAGTTAGTTTAGTTGGGTTAAAGTGCTAAAGTCGGGAGCATGCACTCTATGCTGCCATCCCCTGGCTCACCAGACCAGAAGTCTAGTCTCAATGTCTAAATGAAAACCATGAGGGATCCCAGTTTTCATGAAGTGCAGTAGGTGGTTCATTTACCAGAGTAAGATTCTTTGTATTGTTTTTATGTGTATTTTCACGAGTTTTCTACATCTTCCAGAAACACAAAATTGAAGATGAAGAGCAAAGAGAAACAGCGGCGGAAACTGATGGTTCCAAAACAGAAGACTGAGGCAAGCAGCAGCAGCGACGATGAAGATTCTGATGTGGAGAAAAACTTTGCTCTGCTCACCAAGAGAGAGGATGCAAGTGGAGTAACTGAGGAACTGGACCACCTTGGAGAGGGAGAAGAGGACTGCAGTGATGAAGAGGAGGGAACTGAAGAGGAATCGGATGGCAGGAATGAGGACTCTGATGAGGGTAGTGAAGAAGAAGAAGTAGTATCGGATGGCCAGGAGGAAGAGGGTGAAAGCAGTGACATTTCTGAGGAGGATGGGAATGATGAAGATGATGGTGATGTTGGTGAGATCCACACACAAGAAGACATCAGAAAAGGTGAGACCGAAAGTTTCATAAATCATTTATCTTTGTCCAAAGGATGTTATTTCTATATCAATTAGGAACGGCCCTAGTTTCAAGGACAGAATTATGATTCTTCTGATCAAGACAACCTTGTGGAGGCAGGTGTGTGTGTTTCACCTTTTCCACCCACATTTTGATGTTGACTACCGGGAGTTGAACCTGCGACTTTCCGATCACAGGCCCATCTTCTAACCTCTGCGCCTCCACTCCCCCTTATCGCACCGTACTGGTCAACAGCTGACATAAATCTCTAGCCCTATTTTCAGTCATAGGCCCCAAACTCTGAAACAACCTGCCCCCCATCATCAGGCCTCTTCTCCTCCTGTGTTCAAGTCTGCTACAAACACGTCTCTCATCTCTGGCATTTCACACAGTGTGACCCTGTTCCTATGTTTTTAATACTTTTAATTCATTTTTCAGTATTATCATTAGTGTGTTGTTTTTTTCCATTCATTTACTCTCATTGATGTTATTGTTAAGCACTTTGATAAGTTTTAAATGTGCTCTATAAATAAAGTTAACTTGACGTGTTGCCAACAGCAGTCATACAGACTACAAGAGTAAACAGATAAAATATTAATCTGCTGTATCCATCCACCCCATTCCAATTTATTTACCACAAATTCTGGGGGAGCTTCTATATCCCTAGCTTGGCTAAAAATATGGGAACATGGAGGGAGCTGCCATGTATGAACGGACTTCAGACCGAAGCAATGGATTTCACATGATCCGCGTTAGTCCCGCCCACTGAGTTTGACGAGTGCGGCGGACAGTTTCCACAATTTCATGATGCCACTGGAGGGTAGAAGGTGACAAAATTAAATAAATAAATCATGACATAAATCATTTAAAAGGTACATTTCATTATTTAATGGTGAATTTAATAATATAATTGTGTATTTAATGATTTAATGATGTATTTCATAATTAAATGATACATTTCATTATTATGTATTTATTTATTTAATTTTGTCACATTCCGTCCTCCTCCAGGAGGAGACTGACACAGTTCTAAGTCCAAGTCTATAATTAGAAATTCAAAACAGTTGAAACTGAATACAAGATGAGAACTGTGGGTGAATTGATGTCTTTTATTGAAAATGACTCCATGCAGCTGATCATAGTGGGCTACAGAATAAATACCAGATCAACAACAACTCTTCAACAAGGAATGATGGAGACCAGTGCAGTTTCTGACTTTAAACAAACTGGAACAGATTCCTCGTCATGTGGGACCGCCTGACTGGAGCAGCCAACCCCTCAGGATCCGACTGAACCCAGGTCTAGGATCTGAGACTGGACCCAGGTCTAGGATCTGAGACTGGACCCAGGTCTAGGATCTGAGACTGGACCCAGGTCTAGGATCTGAGACTGGACCCAGGTCTAGGATCTGAGACGACCCAGGTCTAGGAGAGTCCTTGCACTGGAGCTTTTCTTTGATCGAACTCCGTCCTTCACTCATCTGTACCTTAAGAAAAAGAAAAAGAATTAGTAAACATTGTCATGTTTGCATCACAGTCTAAAATAAGACAATTGATACAGTTGTTCCTAACATTTTTACTCATTCACAAAGTATATGTTCAATTTTATATTGATTTTAGTATTTATTTTTTTTTATCTTAGATTTACTTTAATATTTTTCAATTATTGTGCCGGTTGCTTGTGTCATTACCTGCTGTTCCTCTGCTGCTGATGTTCTCAGAGTAAGTGTGTCTGTGAACTTCAGTGCAGGAGACCAGTCTGTGTTTGACTTGTGTGCACGCCTTCCTGAAAAAAGAAATGATTCAATAGAACAAATGTAGAAAGTAATACCCAAAAGATGAACTTGTGTTATGGAATATTTTCAGTACAGATGTATCCACTGCTTTATTCACACATGAGAGTAAAGAGGGACTCAAAACAAACCGATGGTTCTAGTCTGACAATGTTGCAGTGTTCAAATATTATGTAAATTAACTACAATGTGTGTGTGATGCATATACTGTACAGTATATACATCACATAGTGTGCACTGTATAACATGCATTTATATTAATTATTGAAGATTTGTTTAGTAAATGCTTTAACTGATGTTCACTCACATTTTAGTACAATTTTAGCTTCATGTGTGTTTTTCTCTTTTATTCACCATCATTATTTTAAGTGCTTTAATAACTTTGTTTTAATGACGGGTCATGTTTTGTGAGCTGCTGTAATGTCATATTGACCCGGTCTATCTTGAAAAAATATATATGTAAACTGTCTCAATCATAGCTAACCAGCAGGGGTGGCGCTTGAATGGTTCCATTCGTATCTGAGTGACAGGAGTTTTTGTGTTAACTTTGGCAATCATTTATCTGCTTCGGTCCCTCTTTCCTGTGGGGTCCCACAAGGCTCCATTCTTGGACCCCTTCTGTTCTCGTTGTATCTGCTCCCCTTGGGGTCTATCCTGAGGAAACATGGTATTTTGTTTCATTGTTACGCCGATGATTCTCAGATTTATCTGCCTTTATAACCCAATAGTTCCTGCTCCAACCACCCTTTGTTAAAATGTCTTGATGACATCAAGACTTGGATAGCTGCAAATTTCTTGAGTTTTAATGATCAGAAAACTGAGGTCATTGTGTTTAACCCAAGCTCTACCACTGATCCTATAAACCTGCACTCCCTTCAGCCACATCTAAAGCAGTCGGTTACCAATCTCGGGGTAGTGTTAGACTCGGAATTTAAGTTCAGTAAACAGATCAACTCTTTTCTACAAAAAAGCTTCTTCCGGTTGACGCAAATAGCAAAGCTTAAGTCCGTTCTGTCCAGATTCGACCTTGAAAAACTACTCCATGCATTTATTACAACCCGGCTGGACTACTGTAACTCGCTTTATGTTGGGGTTAGTCAGGCTTCACTTTCACGTCTCCAGTTCGTACAAAATGCTGCAGCTCGGCTACTAACAGGAACTCACAGGTTTGAGCACATTACTCCGGTTCTGTCCTCTCTTCACTGGCTTCCTGTGTGTGTCAGAATCAATTTTAAAATTCTCCTGCTGACATTCAAGTGCATTAACGGCCTTGCACCATCATATCTCTCCGACCTCCTTCATCCTTATGCTCCTTCTCGAGCTTTGAGATCATCAGACCAGCTGCTTTTGGCCGTACCAAAAACCAGCTGAAGCTCAGAGGAGATCGAGCGTTTTCAGTCATGGGCCCTAAACTTTGGAACAATCTGCCCATCAACATTCGACAGGCCACCTCAGGCTCTGCTTTTAAATCTCTCCTAAAAACTCACCTGTACTCATTGACATTTAACACAGGGTGATCAGCTTTAGATCTAGTTTTTCATTTATGCTGATTCTGTTTATGCTTTTGTTATTATTCCTATTTAACACAAGGTCATCAGATCTGATTTAGTATTTCATTGTTTCTGACCGAGTTTATGCTTTTTGTTATTTCCTTGACTTTTGACACAACGTGATCTGATTTAGTATTTCATTGTTTAATTATGTTTTCTGTTTTATATTTTTATTCAATGTGCTGTAAATATATCTTACTTTTTATTAGATGTTGTGATATTTTTTGTTAAGCACTTTGGTAACAGTTTCTGTTTTAAATGTGCTCTATAAATAAATCTGACTTGACTTGACTAGAAGTAATGGTCTTGTGCCACAGTGGTCCACTCATCTGCGGTCACAGCCACATCTCTGATGTTTTCCAATTCTCTCTTTTTTTCCTTTTCCACTGCATACCATGCCAGTATGAGTGTATTTGATAGCATGTCTCTGCTGGGGGACTGATATCTGGGGTTTAGGACTCAACAGCTCCCTAGTTGACATAGAACACAAAACATAAACAATAACATGGTTGTTATTATTGCTCAAAAACCATTATCTAGGCTGAGAGATAAAGACTTAACTGGTCAACAACATCCTTAACAGGTTACTTACCTCCACCATGGAGCCTCCACCGTAGAAAAAGGCAATAAACTTTTAACAGCAAAGCCCTTGACTGAGGAACAGCTTCTACCCTGAGGCTGTTAGACTCATGAATCTCTAACTAGAATAATCACTGTGAAAAACCATATGTTGCTGCTGATCTGTTTCATGTTGCTGCTGATCTGTTTAAATGTTGATGTGTTCATGCGTGCACATCTGCTCACAGACTCATGTTCATGTTTGTGCTGATGTTCAATGTTTTTATGTTATGAGTGCTTAGTGTATATTTAGTTGATGTTTTTCTTAGTTCATATCTTAGATGTTATTACTGTTTTTCTTATACATTTTATTGTTGGATGTAACTGGGACCTTGTGTACATAATTTTGCTCCACCACATGTACCACATGAGGTGCGAATGACAATAAAGAAACTCTGACTCTGACTTGACTGCCCTGTGGGCCTCTTCTTGCTTTTCTTTTGTCATTTTTCCTTTTTCTGCCAGTGTGAATGGATTCACACTATGGGTATGTTTACATGGACATAAGTAACCGGATCAAATGGCCGGTCGGAATAAAAGTTTGTCATGTAAACATTCCGTTTGGGTTATTTTTTGTGTATTCAGCGCGATCCGATATAATTTGTGATCAGAACGAAACGGGTGGTTTACGCCGATCCGTAACCAGATCGGTGCGCATGTAAACACGTGATCTGTTCGTTTTTATCTGATCGTGAAAAACTGACCTGACTGCGCATGTGCGACTTTGCCATTTCTGCCTGGCTAACGCTAATAATATTAGCATGTCAGGGAAGCTAAACTGGTCGGTGAGCGACACAACATTTCTACTAGAAACTTTGAAAGAGCTCAAAATGATCTGTATCACCTGTAGCTCAGTCAGGGAGTGCAGTAACGTCTCCACCATCATTAAAACCTGTCGCGGGTCCATTTTGGGTGCTCAGGTTTGTTTACGTTCACCCCGGAAGTAGAACTTCTTCTTCGGTGGTTTTTTAAGGAGAGTTTACCACTCTGCGCATGTCAGTACTGCTGTTCAGAACAAAGCTCGCTGCATGTAAACGCTCGTCATGAACAGATTGTGCCCATGTAAATGATACAATTGAATTATTCCAACGGAACACATTTCAATCCGGTCAAAGAATTCTGCGCATGTAAACATAGCTTGTGACTGACTGTCCTTGTCCTCGTCACAGCAGGTTTAGAGGCTCCTGTGTGAAAAACATAAACAGTGAACAACATTAGGTGAACTGTTTAACCAGCTGACAATGGATGAGCCATTTTTACAAGCTAAGCTTCATCTGTTACTCTCAATCTTTATTTTATTAAAATAAACTAAAGCTACACAGTAATATATTTAAGATATTATTGTGAATAAAATACAGCTACACACTAATATCTTAAATATATTAATGTGTCGCTGTAGTTTAATAAAATAAAATACAGCTACACTAATATCTTAATGTTAGCGTTGCATGGATAGTTAAATCATTGTGCGATGCTCGTATTAAGCAGTCACAAAGCTGCAGTAACGTTAACAAATGTAGGGTTCTAAGGACTAGCTTTAGCTGCCCTTGACTACAATATATTTAAATAACGGGTTCTCTCTTTTTCTAGCTAAATTACAGCCATGTGACCGAGGTAACTGCGTAGATTGTTAATCGGTGACACTGATACGTTAATTTTCTTTGACCCATCAGAATAAATGTGGTCATTTATTGAACAGAATCAAAATTTAACATCAAAATGTACAAGTGATTAGCTGATCTGGTTCTGATTAGTAAAACTTGGCACGTTTTACTTAATAAAAACAACAGACAATTCTGAAGGCATCTAGATTAATTACTGGCAAAATAGAAGAGTTTAAAGATGGGAAATGGAGTTTAAATGGAGAGAAAAGATGGATGAGGCAAAGTGTGTTGACTAGGAATGGCACCCTTCATCCGACCCCAGCTCAGCCCGGTACACTCGGTGCGTGGCGACTCGTTACCTTAGACGGGATACTTCCGCTCAGGAACAGGAGTCCATTTCAACGCGACCTTTCAGCGTCTCCGGCAAGGATGGCTGAGAATCGTCCGAAGTAGTGACGGTACTCCGTTCAACGGTCAAATCCATCAGCTATCGATTAAATCTGAAAGTTCCTTAAGAACCCTCAGGAAGACTTCAGTCAGAGATTCCACTCAGACGTGGATGACTCCATGAAAGACTGAAGAAGACTCCGGTCCTGGACTCCAGAAGACTGAAGACCGACTCAAGACCCAGTTGACCTGAGAAGTTCCAGGAAGTGTGGACTCTTAAAGAGTTCTCACTTCTGGTCACCTCAGGACTTCCTGATTGGTTGAAACAACCAACAGGGGGTGGTTCTAGTGATGTCAGAGGGTCATTACAAGTCAAGAAAACAGCAGGAATGTTTTAGAAACGTCCCGTACAGACAGAAGACATGTTATGGCGAAGTGGGAGGAAGAGAGGCCAGTAGCTTCTTGTTTACCGTCTGCTAGGTTTATAAACACGACACTTCGTTCTAATAACTTCTTTCTGACTTTCGACCGACATCACTACTTCTCATTTAGACAGAAGATCAAAAATACATAATTACTTTGTAAAATAGACATTTAACGATTTCTAATTTAAATGAGGTTTAAAAATCATTAATACTGTTTCACAGTTGATTTAAAATGAGTGGTTCACTTCAACATTTAGAAATGGTATGAACTAAACACACTTTTGATTTATCAAGATATTGTAAAATAGTAATGATAATATAAAAGATGAGTGTTCTTTCAATTGATTACTTCAGGATACAATTAGAAAGTCTCTGGATCAGCTAATTTGTATTTCTGGATTCAAATCAATGAAATAACAGTTCCTGTCCCATGAAGGTCCTCAGAGGCAGGTTTTGGTCGGAGGCCGAGTTCACTACACAAACATAAACTTACCAGCTGAAATCCCAGAAACTGAGCTGTCCTCGGAGTTCTCGAATGAAGAGGAGTCCGGTCATGGTGGGCATGTTAAATCAAGCCGTTCAGGCTCTCCAACACTCACAGACTGACTTGAGGAGGATGGCTGCGGTCAACTCTTTTTGCAATAAAAAAAACGAGCAACTTTCCACTCACAAATTGATGCCATGAATGATAAGATGCTTCATCAAATTAGTTGTGTTGCCAGCCTTAGCAACGATGTCTTTTTTGCAAATATTGCAACGCTCACTCCTGGCATCAATCTTTCAAAAATGGAGCCACACTTTTGATCTTAGAGGCATTTTTTAGTGGACACACAACATGCGCAGCGCAGCACTAATTCACACAACAGCACAGACACATGAACCCCGTCTGCGGACGTAACCACGTACACCTGTGTTTTACCTGCCTGTGTGCTGAAACCACGTGACACTTTACAGCCACTACCAAAACTTGACACCGAAAGAAGAGTGACGTTTCAATCCATACACCAACCTGCGTAGTTCGGTCGGTGCCACAAAAGAACCTCGGTTCGGTATACACCCCTACTCATTTGTTAGTCGGTCCATCGCCAGAGCTAACAAGAAGGGACTCAGAGCCGATCCTTGATGGACTCCTACCTCCACCTTGAAGCTATCTGTCACTCCTACAGCATATCACACTACTGTCCTGCTGTCCTCATACTGTACATGTCATGTACTAGTCTACAACAGACTGTTCATAATAGCCAAAAACAAAACTAATCTTATGCCCCCCCACCCACACACACACACACACACAGTCAGTCTTTGATCACCTTTTTGGGTATTTTAACCTCAGCGGCCACAGACAGGCAACAACAGTGAACCACTTGCAAATGAAAACAATCCCTAACTTCTGATAAAAATCAAAGATCAATCCCTTTTGTGAATAATTTGTTCTTACACTGCCTGGCCAAAAGAAAAGTCGCCACCAAAAAAAAGGTCTCACTAATATTTTGTTGGACTGCCTTTAGCTTTGATTATGGCATGCATTCGCTGTGGCATTTTTCGATAAGCTTCTGCCATGTCACAAGATCTATTTCCATCCAGGGTTGCATTAATTTTTCACCAAGATCTTGCATTGATGACTAGACACTAGGCATGATGGGTGCATCACTTCACCTGCCTCTCTTCTTACCCTGATGCACCCATCACTCTGGAACAGGGTAAATCTGGACTCATCAGACCACATGACCTTCCATTGCTCCAGAGTCCAATCTTTATGCTCCCTAGCAAATTGAAGCCCTTTTTTTTCCCAGTTACCCTCACTGATTAGTGGTTTTCTTAAGTCTACACAGCTGTTCAAGCTACAAGCTGTGATGGACCGACTAACAAATGAGTAAGGGTGTATACCGAACCGAGGTTCTTTTGTGGCACCGACCGAACTACGCAGGTTGGTGTATGGATGCTGTTCAGTCCCAATGAGTTCCCTTCACATTGTGCATGTGGAAATACTCTTACTTTCACTATTAAACAGCCCTGAGTGCTACTGTTGTTTTCCTTCCATTTGATTTCAGCAAACGTTTAAGTGATCGCCGATCACAATCATTAAGGATTTTTTCTGGCCACATTTCTTCCTCGAAGACGATGAGTCCCCATTATCCTTCCAGTTTTTAATAATGTGTTGGACATTTCTTAACCCAATTTTAGTAGTTTCTGCAATCTCCTTAGATGTTTTCTCTGCTTGATGCATGCCAATGATTTACCATACCATACCATTTTATTTATAGAGCACTTAAAACAGCTACAAGGCCAACCAAAGTGCTGTACAGACAGAACAACAGACAACACATGAAGCAATATACAAAATGAAGTAAATCAAAAATATGGTTCATGATTTGACCCATCTCAAATAGACTGACATCTTTTCCATGACCACGCCATGTGTTTTTCAACATGGTTGTTTAAGAAATGATAAGCAACTCATTGCACCAGTTGGAGTTAAATAACTTGTTGCAGCTGAAAGATAATCGCTCATGCAGTAGTTATCCAATAAGAGGCTTGTACCTATTTGCTTAGTTAAATCCAGGTGGCAACTTTTTTTTGGTCAGGCAGTGTTATATTGTTAAAATTCTAATGCATTATTCTATGTTTACATCTAATTATTTTGTTTGTTTGTTTTTTCACTTTTCCAGGGAGAACTCAATAATAACTAATTACGGTATAATGTTTTTTTTTTAATGAACATCCCTCCACTATTTATCTTGTTCAGAACTGTCCAACATGCCCTTTGAGGACATCATAAAGCTGCAGAATCAGGTGGGGACAAAAGTTTACAATGAGGTTGCTTACAGCAACAAAAAGAGTCAACATGCAAGCAAGAAGAAACGACTAAACAAGAACAGGTCCGTATTGTTCTTTATCATCAAGATCTTAAAGATCACGTTCAGCTGTCCTCTTTTTCAGGAAAAAACGAACAAATAAACTGTTTATAGAGACGGCTGCTGAGCCTTCTCTAGTCCACACAGTTCAGGTTGTTGAAGAGTGTGTTTGTGACTTCAGGCCAATGGAGATCTCAGCTAAGAAGCCAGCACCTTTCATACGTCAAGTTGTTTCTGTCAAGAAACCAGTGAGTGAAGAAAATCTGTTACAGGTGCTTCTAAAAAAATTATAAAATCGTGAAAAACTTCAATTTCTTTGATCAATCATTTCAAAAAGTGAAACTCGTGTTACATAGATTCATTACATTACACTAAGTAAAATATTTCAAGCCTTTATTTCTTGTAATTTTGACGATTATATATTGCAAATAATGAAAATCTAAACTCAGTGTCTGAGATAATAATTAGAATTTTCCATAGCCAGCTTTTGGTTCCTTTGTCAGTGTGGGCCAGTGCCTTATCCTGCTGGAAAATGAAACCAGCATCTCCATAAAGCTCATCAGCAGAAGGAAGCATGAAGAGCTCTAAAATGTTCTGTTAGATGCTGCGTGGACTGTGGACTTCAGAGAACCCAGTGGACCAGCACCAGTAGAGGACATAGACGCAAACCATTACTGACTGTGGAAACTTCACTCTGGACTTCAACAATGTGGATTCTGGACCTCTCCACTCTTCCTACAGACTTTGGGACCTTGACTTACAAATGACATGAAAAATTACTTTCATGTGAAAAGACGACATTGACTCACAGAGAGAAGTCCAGTTCTTTGTCTTCTCAGCAGGTAAGATGCTTCAGACGTCTGTGGTTCAGGAGTGGCTGGACTTCAGGAACGAGACATTTGTAGCTCATGTCCAGGAGTTAATCAGCTGATCAGGCTGTGACACCAGCAGTTACAAAACAAATTGGATTTTTTTAATCCATCCATCCATTCTCTTCCGCTTAGCCGGGGTCGGGTCGCAGGGGTAGCAGTCTTAAGTAGGGAGGCTCAGACTTCCCTCTCCCCAGCCACTTGGGCCAGCTCCTCTGGGGGAATCCCAAGGCATTCCCAGGCCAGCCGAGAAACATTGTCCCTCCAGCGTGTCCTGGGTCTTCCTCTGGGTCTCCTCCCGGTGGGACATGCCTGGAACACCTCACCAGGGAGGCATCCAGGAGGCATCCTAACCAGATGCCCGAGCCACCTTAACTGGCTCATCTCGATGTGGAGAAGCAGCGGCTCTCCTCCTGGATGACCAAGCTTCTCACCCTGTCTCTAAGGGAGAGCCCAGACACCCTGCGGAGAAAACTAATTTCAGCTGCTTGTATCCGTAATCTCATTCTTTCAGTCACAACCCAAAGCTCATGACCATAGATGAGGGTAGGAACATAGATCGATTGGTAAATTGAGAGCTTCGCTTTTTGACTCAGCTCTCTCTTCACCACGACAGACCGGTACAGCGCCCACTTCACTGCCGATGCTGTACCTATCCGCCTATCGATCTCACATTCCATTTTTCCCTCATTCGTGAACAAGACCCCAAGATACTTAAACTCCTCCACTTGGGGCAGGACCTCCTCCCTGACCCGGAGATTTCACTCTACCCTCCCTTTTCTGGCTCAAGACCATGGCCTCAGATTTGGAGGAACGGATCCTCATCCCAGCCACATCACACTCGGCTGCAAACTGCTCCAGCAAAAGCTGTAGATCACGACCTGATGAAGCCAATAGGACCATATCATCTGCAAAAAACAGAGAAGCGATCCTAAGGCCACCAAATCGGATCCCCCCCAATACCTTTGCTGCGCCTAGAAATTCTGTCCATAAAAGTTATGAACAGAATCGGTGACAAAGGGCAACCTTGGCGGAGTCCAACTCTCACTGGGAACGAGCCCGACTTACTGCCGGCAATGCAGACCAAGCTCTGACACCAGTCGTACAGGTACCTAACAGCCCATATCAAAGGGCCTGGTACCCCATACTCCCAGAGTACCCCCACAGGGTTCCCAAGGGACGTGGTCGAACAAAGCCTTCTCCAAGCCCACAAAGCACATGTAGACTGGTATGTAGACTGGTTGGGCAAACTCCAACGCACCCTCCAGGACCCTGCTATGGGTGTAGAGCTGGTCCAGTGTTCCACGACCAGGACGAAAACTGCACAGCTCCTTTTGAATCCAAGGTTCGACTATCCGACAAACCCTCCTTTCCAGAACCCCCGAATAGACCTTACCAGGGAGGCTTAAAAGCATGATCCCCCTGTAGTTGGAACACACTCTACGGTCCCCCCTTTTAAATAGGGGGACCACCACCCCAGTCGGTCAATCCAGGGGAACTTCCCCCGATGTCCATGCAATATTTCAGAGTCATGTAAGCCAATACAACCCCACAACATCCAGAGCCTTAAGAAACTCCAGACGAATCTCATCCACCCCTGGGGCCCTGCCACTAAGGAACTTTTTAACCACCTTGGTGACCTCAGCACCAGAGATTGGAGAGCCTGACCCAAAGTCCCCAGGCTCCGCTTCCTCAGTGGAAGACGTTCCAGTGGGATTGAGGAGGTCTTCAAAGTATTCTGCCCACCGACCACGACATTTATAGTTGACGTCAGCAGCACACCACCTCCACTATAAATAGTGTTGGTAGCGTACCCCCCCCCCCCCCCCCGAGACGCCTGATGGTAGACCAGAATCGCCTCAAAGCCATACGTAAGTCATTCTCCATGGCCTCTCCGAACTCTTCCCACGCCAGAGTTTTTGCATCAGCGACTACCCGAGCCGCATGCCACTTGGACTGCCGGTACCCATCAGCTGCTTCCGGTGTCCCACAGGCCAAATAGGCCCGATAGGACGACTCCTTCAGCCTGACAGCATCTCTCACCACCGGTGTCTACCACCGGGTTTGAGGGTTACCGCCATGATAGGCACCGACAACCTTGCGGCCACAGCTCCAATAAGCCGCCTCGACAATGGAGGCACGGAACATGGCCCACTTGGACTCAATGTCCCCTCCTCCCCCGGAACATGTTTGACGCTCTCCTGGAGGTGGGAGTTAAAGCTCCATCTCACGGGAGACTCTGCCAGACGTTCCCTGCAGACCCTCAGAATACGTTTGGGTCTGCTAGGTCTGATTGGCATCCTCCCCTACCATCGGAGCCAACTCACCACCAGGTAGTGGTCAGTAGACAGCTTCACCCCTCTCTTCACCCGAGTGTCCAAGACATGCGGCCACAGATCAGATAAGACAACAACAAAGTCAATCATCGAACTGCGACCTAGGGTGTCCTGGTGCCAAGAGCACATATGGACACTCTTATGCCTGAACATTTTGTTCGTTATGAACAATCCATGACGAGCACAGAAATCCAATAACAAAACACCACTGGGGTTCAGATCGGGGGACCGCTCCTCCAAACCACACCCCTCCTGTCATTACCCACGTGAACGTTGAAGTCCCCCAGTAGAACATGGAAGTCCCCAGGAGGCGCACTCTCCAGTACCCCCTCCAAGGACACCAAAAAGGGTGGGTAATCTGAGCTGCTGTTTGGCACATAAGCACAAACAACAGTCAAAACCCGTCCCCCCACATGTAGGCGGAGGGAGGCTACCCTCTCGTTCACTGGGGTGAACCCCAACGTACAGGCACCAAGATGGTGGTGGGGGCAATAAGTATGCCCACTCCTGCTCAGCACCTCTCACCAGGGGCAACTCCAGAGTGGAAGAGTGTCCAACCCCTCTAAAGGAAACTGGTTCCAGAGCCATGCGTTGAGGTGAGTCCGACTATTTCTAGCCTGAACCTCTCAGTCTCACACACCAGCTCAGGCTCCTTCCCCACCAGAGAGGTAACATTCCACGTCCCAATAGCCAGCTTTTGTAGCCAAGGATTAGACCGCCAGGGTCCCCGCCCTTGGCCACCACCCATCCCACATTGCAGCTGACCCCTTTGGCCCCTCCCACAGGTGGTGAGCCCATGGGAAGTTGGACTTTTTCTTGATACTAAAATTTCTTTAGATGCACCTGTATTTTCTGTTTGCATTTACAAACTAAAGATCTAAACTTTAACATTTAGTTTGAAACATGTTTTGTTTGTTTGTTTGTTTGGTTGATATAGGCAATAAGAGATCCTCGGTTTGATGATCTTTCTGGGGAATATAAACCAGAAATTTTTGAGAAGACGTACAAGTTCATTAATGACATCAAACACAATGAAAAAGAAGTGAGGAAACTAAAATCTCCTGTTTATATTCAGATAAGAGCTTTTACAGATTCTGTTAGCTGTAAAGTGTAGAATCTGAGAATCTGTTGTTTGTGTGCAGATTGTCCAGAAAAGGCTGAGGAGGATGAAGGACAGCAGCCAAAAGAAGGAGAAGCTACAGTTCCTGCTGAAAAGATTGGTGAGGATCAGTGTCACTTCTATTTTATAGTGGGTTTGCCCTTTAAGCCACGCCCCCTAGTGGGTGTAATCCCGCACGCAGCACGCCAACACTGAAAACTCAAGTCCACGCCCATTCACTGTGTGGGCCCTACCTTAGATCGCATAAATAGCGTGCGAGTCCATGGCTCAGCTCCCCCTTTTTTTTCAGCCAGCTAACACTGAGCTTACCAAAAAAAATTTATTAAAAGCAAGATGCCCTCCAGTGGAACGATTCATCTCTGCCAGGGACGCAGCTCAGGCTTCATCCTTTCGTCAAATCTGCATCTCGTCTGCGAAGGCTGCCTGGGGGCTACCCATGCCCGCCAAGCCGTGACGCCGCAGGCTTCCTGCCCGTCGTGTAGACCTTTCCCGATGGAAGGGAAACAACACTGGATCGAGCTTTTCTCCTCTTTTCCAGGAGAACCAGCAGAGTCCTACCCCCTGGACAGGTTCCTGGACTTCCTTGACGCGAGGCAGGACTCGGATGTGTCCGCCTCTGAAGTAGAGATGGCCAGCAGCCTCGTTCCCTCCTCTCGGACGAGAGAGATGGAGAAGGAGCCGCCGTCAATGGAAGGGCCCCAAGGCATTTAGATTTCCTCCGTCACCCTCCTCCCGGCAATCGGTGTGCTCGTCCATGCACTGACGGACATCATCCAGAAAGCGGCAACAGCGTGTTACTTGTCTGTTCCCAGTCAAGCGCCACTACCGCCCTCCAACCTCCTGGCGAGAAGATTCGGCGCCCAGCCACCGGGACCTGGTCTGACCTTGTTTCCCGTCTGTTTCATCGTTTTTCTCGGTTTCTTCCTAGGAACCACTGAAACTGTCTCTATCTTCGCGCCCATCACGAAGGTGGAGGGGCTGACGGAACACTGTTTTCTGGCCATTCCGCCACTGGAGCCCAGCCTGTTGTCTGTGTTTGGAGTGAGAGCGGTACGATATGTCAGACGTCGTTTCATCTCTCTGTCCCCCAGTGACCAACTGACCACGAGGCTCACTGACGGGATCCATCAGTGCGCCTTGCAGACGGCGACAAACAACGTGGCGATGCTAGCTCTTAGCATCTCACAGAAGGCCAAGCAGCCAAATCTCTCTGCTGCAGACTTGGATGAGTTCTGCACCACGGCTGACACATCACAAACATGTGCGTTGCACAGGCAGTCTGCTCTGCCCACAGTCTGTCCTGGGCGACAGTGCTGCAGAGGCAGATATGGTTAAAAATATCTTTGTGCATCCCCAATGAGAACCCCCACAGCGAACAGGTTCTTGCAGAGGTCATCAATTGGCGTGTTCCTCGTCCGTTCAGCCCCAGGAGCCACGGAAAAGGCAGCAAAAGAAATTATTTTTTGCAGGGGATGTGTGTGACGATGTTCATGAAGGTTTTGAAATAAAACATAAACTTCATTCAAAGATCAGAATCTTCTTTTCAGACAGGCAGAACTGCCCTGTCAATCCTCTATTTCACACATCCTCCACTCCGAGCAGAAAGGTATATTCTAAACATGCGTTTAAATTTAACCAATTTTCCATTCATCACAGTCAAAAACCTTATGAGCCCATGGCGAGAACACACGTCCCCCATGCAGACTTTTTTCCTCCTCCTTCAGCCTCCTCTCTACACCTGACTGTGAAAAGGGATGCTGGGGATGAGCGTTCGAACACTCCGGCTGGTAAGGTAATCTTTAGGCATTCATCTATAAGAAGCCAAGCCACCCTGAAGTTCGAACCTCTCACATCCCGGCTATGAACCCGCTGAGTAATGACGCCCGTCTTATGCGAGGGCTCTTCTCCTCATCTGTCAGCCCCCCTCCTCACCAAACGGTGCAGGAGCGAGATGAAGACGAGCCTCCTCCTAAACGTTGCTTGTTTTACTAATCGGCTCACTCCACATGTCGTCCTCATCCAACTACAGATGCGGGTCAGTGTGGGAGTGACAGACAGCCCTTTCGCGGCAGGCCCCCGTGGGTTCATGCAGAGTTTTCTTCTCTGCAGTCAATGTCGGCAGGGGCCTTTTTTTCTCCACGCACAACACAGGTCGCTTATGCGCCACCGCTCTGAGTGCAGCTCCACTTGGAGGCATTTGTGTCAGATGACAAAATGGATGTGCCATTTAATCACCAGGGGCCACACGCTGCAGTTCACAGGTGCTCCCGCAAGTTTCAGCGGTGTTCTGGAAACTCAGTTAACGTCCCCAGAACAGGGCAGAGTTTTACAGACAGAGCTGAGGGAGCTTCTGATAAAAGACGTGATTTCAGAAGTCCCTTCCCAGGTCCCTTCCCCTTTTACTCCCGGTACTTCCTGGTTCCAAAAAAGTCAGGGGGTTCAAGGCCCTTTCTGGACCTGCCCCTGTTCAACAAATATATTGTGGAGCAACCGTTTCATATGCTGACAATAAAACGTGTGCTCGAATGCGTCATGTGCTCGAATGTGTCAGGCAGGGGGACTGGTTCACCTTCGTGGATTTGAAAGATGCATATTTTCATATCCCAATAATTAAGAAACACAGGAAATTCCTGCACTTCTCTTTCCAGGGGGTCCAGTACCAATACAACCGGCTCCCCTTCGGCTATTCCCTTGCCCCGCGCATGTTCTCGACGTGCATGAAAACGGCACTGCATCCACTGCGCATGACAGGGATGAGGGTTCTTTTTTATCTGGATGATATGCTTCTCCTGACCCTGTCCAGAGAGGAAGCAGAGACCCATACGAGCACTCTGGTGTCATATTTATCTCATCTGGGTTTCACGATAAATTGGGAAAAATGCTCAACGATCCCCTCCCTGCTCATCACGTATCTGGGAGTGAACCTGAACTCAGTCACCATGACAACCTGCCTGTCACACCAGAAGAGGGAGACCCTGACGTCATTGCTCCGACAAGTTGGGGTCTAGAAACTGGCAACTGCACTGGCATTTGTGAGGCTGCTCGGGATGATGTCAGCGGCTCATTTTGTCCCGCTAGGTTTACTCCTCAGGAAGATTCAGAGATGGTTCAATTGTCAATGTATCGACCCCTCTCACCACAAGTTTTGAATGATTACTGCTCCCCCATCAGTGGGAGTGGACCTGAGTCACAGGGAAAACCCTCAGAATCTCCTGAAAGGGGTTTCCTGGGCAGAGTGACGCCATTCATTTCCGTGTTCACAGACGCGTCCCTCTCGGGTTGAGCGGGGACGTGTCTGTCCCAGACAGTGGGTGGAACATGGCTTTCTCACACATCTCTCCACATAAACATGTTGGAGTTGATTACCATGGGGAAAGTAATCAAACACTTTGCCCCACTGCTACGGGATCATCACGTGATGGTACACACGGACGACAGAACCACAGCAGCCTACATAAATCACCATGGGAGCGTTCACTGCGTCCATGCTGCCAGAGAGTTGCTCTGCTGGACACACAAGCATCTCCACTCCATCAGAGCTGTTTACATACCCGGGGTGCTAAACAGGTGCGCCGATATCATGTCCAGAGGCAGACTTCAGGAGAAAGATTGGTGCCTCAACCCGGACCTGACTCTTCAGATTTGGTCCAGATTCGGCAAGGCGAATGTGGATCTAATGGCCGCCAGGGAAAACACTCAGTGCAAGCTGTTTTTCTCCCTGAATCCACAGGACGAGCCCCCACTTGGGATGAATGTGTTGACACACAAACCATGACTCTAGATGTTAATTTATGCTTTTTCTCCAACCCTGCTAATAGGACAACTTTTGGAGTGGGTCTGGGAGGAACAGTTGAAGGTACTCCTGATCATGATCACCCCAGAACGCACAGGCGCTCGGTGGTTTTTGGTGCTCTCATCAGCTGACGAGTGTACCTTGGAAACTGCCTTGGCAGGAGGATGCGCTCTTACAGGCGAGAGGAGTGATCAGGATCCCTCCGGTGACAGGACAGTGCCTTTGGGCTTGTCCACTGAACGGGAACGTTAATGCCCCTTTTCCATTAGCACCGTACGGGCCGACTGGACCCTACTTGGCACGGTTCTGAGGCTTTTCCATTAGTACCGGTACTTAGCACCTTTTACTATTTTCAGTACCCTTGGCTCTGTGGTTCTAACCTGAACGAAGAGGTACTAAAACGTGACGTCAGAACACTGTCGGTCACTGATTGGTCGGGGGCAGAGTCACTGGATCCTTCAGAAACTTTTCAAAACAATGATCCGCCATTTGCAATTTCTCGGACTAGAGCAGCGGCTGGACTTATTTTAAAGATTTTAAAAACAATACTGACAACATCTTGGTCTAATGCTGACGTGCTGGCGTTTTTTGTGCTTGGTGGCCAACGACATAATTCAGAGCAAGCTGGATGGAGCTCTGCTGGTGTACCCCGGTCCTCCCCACGGAGACTCGGAGCGCCAGGCCGGGCAGGACGTCATCTCCCCGGCTCCGAGTTCCGCTGGTCACCGCGGAAGATCCTTCGATGTGCCGACTCGGAGGCACGGGTTCCAGATACCAGCCTTGTGTGCTCAGAGCTCCACTGGTAACTGCGAAGCTGGAGATGGTGACTCGCAGATGGACGTTGCAAGACCTCAGCTGCGCGTAATCATGAAGGCCGAATCCCGATCCCGCCTGGCAGTCAGGCGGACTGGACAGTCTGGGACGGACGCTGGAAGCGATTTTTAAATAAAATAATATTTTGTTTTTATACAAAAAATGTTTTAAAAAATTGCTGAAGCGATTTAAAAATTACTATTTTTTTTACACATAAAATGTTTTTTTTTTTTAATCGCTTCCACCGTTCGTCGCAGACCCGTCTCTGTCCGCCTGTCTGCGCGGGTCGGGTCTTCATGATTACGCGAGGCTGGGGTCTGATAACGGCCTCTGCGAATTCACCAGCTGAGCTCGGAGCTGGGAAGATGAGCCTGCCCGTCCTGTCTCCGGACGAGAGGATCGTGTGAGACCAGCAGAGCTGGTCATAAAAAAATAATATATATATATATATTTTAACGTTGAAGATTAAAAAAAATAATAAAATAAACGGTGCC